CTCGAAAAATTTGGTCGAGTAAAAATGGTAAACAGGAATGCCTACTTCTGATTGGCTGTTATATTGATTTTGAACAATGGTGGCCAAAATTTCTCTTAAACATATGTTAAGGGAAAATAAAAACATAAATAATTCTACGGAATTTAATTAATTTAATATTTTTAAAACATAAATTGCATGTTAGGAAGTTCAAAAAATAAATTCATTAAAAAAATTGCGGAAAAATTGTTATTAAGGTTTATTTTTGTTTTAACATCAAAAAACGTTAAGAGAACGCATCAACGCTGGTGTGCACGTCTGCCCAACTATGATTTTGAAGTATTGTCATCTAATTTTGGCATATTTACTAGATTTCCGTTCCCGAACTTTTCAAATTATTTTGTACTCTGAGAACAATTTTGAAATGTTTCCCCTTTACTAGATTTACTATTAAAATAGTACTGGAACAGACCAAATATTAAGTTTTATTTCAATTGCGATGCCAGTTGAACTCGCAACTGGAGTTTGGTTGCTTTCCACTATCGACCCATTAATTTCATTTTGATTTTTCATTGATATGATTGATGATGCTGCTGCTGAAGTGCCGACTGCAGAAATATTGAAAAACGTTCCACCTGTTACGAATGGGATGGGATAAGACAAAATGCTCGGTAAAGTAGAAGTCTAAAAAGAAGACGGAAAGTTACGAATGAGGTGCGATGGAGACTAAAAAGGAGTTGATTGTTTACGAATGAGGTTTAGGAAAATAACGATTAGGGATCTAGAAGTCGAGGGGGATTTTTTTATAATCATCGATTAGTTGAATAATCGGTTTATCGTTGGAAAATCTGTAGAAGTTTTTTCTCTTTTCATTTTCCATTAAATTTCATTTTTTTCATAAAATATTTTTTGACAGTGAAAATAGGGAATAGTAAATCGACTTTCAACTAATCGACTTTTCGTATTGAAAGTGTAAAGAGCTAATGGTGTTTTTACACGATATGTATTTTACATATGTGCTGTCACTTATTTGATCCATATGTAATTCCTTATGTGTGTCAAAATTAGCAGTGTACACAAAACATTTATTTTTGTGTTCAAATCGGCATTTTTTTTTTACATATGACATAACCTATAAACAAAAAACACTTTTATTTTTTCTTAAATCAACATCATTTTTTTTATTAAACACCTACAAACGAAATAATAATGTGTAATTGTTGCCTTTTCATCCTTTATTTGAATTACAATTGAAATATTTTCTTCCAACAATGTGTTTTATTCAAACAGCTGATTTCCTTATGTTTCACATACGAAAATAGAGCGCGTCCTATTCGGAAAAAATACATATGTAATTGCATATCGTTTTGACGCATTGAAATTTCCGTATGTTTCACATGACGAGTTCGATTTCCATATGTAAAAAAGTGACAGCACATATGTAAAATACATATCGTGTAGAAACACCATAAGCAGAATTGTCACGTTGGGCGTTGTGTTATGTTACGCGTCGTTATGTATAGGGTAAACGCACCTAATTCCGGCATGTACCAAGAGTCGGCATCGTTTTTATATAACTTCAAATAACTAAATATGAAAAATACCTCGAATAATCTTCGATAGTACTGCAACCTATCTTTGTATAAATTTAATCGAACTATGTACATTTATTGAGTCAAAATTTGGCATTTGGTCAATGAGGTTTGTCAACACTAACGATAAATCATGTTTCTTAAGATGTTTTATAATTGTAATATTTTAATAAATAATATTATTTTATATAACTTTTTCAATATAACACCGATGGAAACGTCCCATAGTAATCATTTATTATTGCAAATAGCAGAAAAATGCATTAAATATATAATTTTTGTTTAACTAAAATGCGGCATGCCGACTATTGGAACATAACATGCCGACAATTGGAAAAAAGTGCAGACTATTGGCACAAAGGCACTTTAACAAATTTTGTATTTTTTTCTTTATTGACAGAGGTGTATTTTTTCTTTGTTGTACAATGGACTCTGCCATGGCACAATAAATAGGTATTCCATTTTGCGAATTCGACGTTGGAAATTTTACACTGAGAATTTCTTCTTGTAAGAAGCATGGTATAATTATAAAACTCCTTGTACATTAGAACTTTTTACTAGGTTAACCTACTTTATGTGGATTTATTTGACGTATATGCAAAGGAATTGACGAAATCCTGTTTAATGTAAACGTACTATTACAAGGTAGGGCACAGCTACCAACTGATTACAATTTTTTCTCAAGGTGGCTTGTTCCATCAAATCAAAATACATATTTTGTGTATATGTGTGTATTGTTTTGAATATTACCCTGCAAGCATTTGGAAGTGAGTTTCTAACTCCATCTTCAAATAATTATCTACTTCGACACTTATTTCTTGTAAAAGGGTGATACTTCGTAATTTTACAATAACAAATGAATTGTTATCCAATTTCGATCGTCTGTAATAACTATTTAGTTAAATGAAAGAAGATGGAAATTCGATAGTTTCATAATTTAACTGTCGTTGTATAAATATTTGTCATCGAAAAAAAATTTGTAGATAATACTACATTTTCATTATAAAAAATCTTCGGCCTGAAGCCTTTTTCATTGCTGTATCAAATAATATACAAAGGCGCGGAACAATATAATTCACGTGTAAAGTACATTTAAGGTCATGGATGTATAACTCTTTGGTTATAAGTACAAGTAAAGAAGTATCATTTGGCACATTAGCTCTACACCAAAAAAGGAAATTGAATTGAGAAACAAGAGGGAGGCGTCTGGATTATATTCAACCTTTTTCTCAAAGTCAACAGAATGCTACATCCAACGCAAAAGGTAATGCGTATCTAGCAAATTAGAACATCAGAAGGCAATGATATAAGTGTTTTTGAACTTGATGATTTTAATGTGAATGGCAATTCGGAAAATAGTGAAAGTGAATATGGCGGCGAAGATAAAACTGAATGCACAACTTAAAAAAATTAATCTTTTTCGAAAAAATGATCCGAATGGGCAATCCAAAATTTTGTAAATCATAACGCATAATAAGCTCTTGGTCATGTTAAGAGAAGAAGGAATCAATGTACCTAAAGACTGCAGAACATTAAGAGGAACTCCAAACGAAGTATACATTCGTAGTATTTTAGGGGGATCATATACTCATTATGGGTTAAAAGACTGTCATAATGCCCACTCCCTTAGAAAAATAATTGCAATTGTTGCCATAGCTGTCATTTTATGTTTTCGACGATTTTAAAAAAATTGATGCCAAACTTCTAATAGAAGATAAAATTTGGGAACAATTGGTAATAATAAGCTGTTATAAGTGATCAAATAGCAATTAAATTACATGGCTTGGAACTATACAAAACCCCAGTTTTCAGCGATTTACTACATATAGTATAATAAGAGGCAAGTCAGCTTACTTTTGCGTTAATTTGAAATTAAAACATTAATTTTTACAGATATGTGCCATCTAAAGTTTCCCCAGACGTCGTTGTTGGAAACAACACACGCAAAACACGCATTCGTCACATCTTAAACGTATCTTCTTAGTAAAAGTTGAAAGTAACTTAGGCGATAATATTTAAGGTAACAAAACAGTGTCATTTTGGAGTGTCGCTTTATTAACTTCAAATTGTGACGAAGAAGTTACTTTTTAAAGGTAACGAGTACGTGGTTCATTTCTTCCCAAACGGTATAACTTATTTGTTAAAAATACGATATCGCCTACGAGTGTTTTCATCGCCTGGTAGTAACTTTTTGGATATGTTTTGGATAGAAAATGCTTGCTGGGTTATGTCAAATAAATTGAAATATATTCAAATTTAATTGAAATGCAAATTTTGTTTTTAACATGTTCGTCTGGAAGTAATTACTTTGTTATGGATGAAACAAACATTTGATGGTATCCCCTACTGGATTTTGAGAAGAAATCGTAACCTTTCATTCATTTTTCGCGTTTTTAGTTTTGTGTTGAACAAATGTCAAATAAACACAAACACTTGTTGCGTATATTTATTTTATTTTTGACAGAAGAAACCACACGTGCATAGTTGCTTTTTTGTTATTCACCTCAAGCTGCCCTTTCTGTATAATTGTACCATGGTAAGAAGTATCATGTTAATGTTAAGTTTCGGTTCATCGCACAAGACGTTTATTGCTATGTGAATTATTTTTTATAATATTATTTCTTTTCCAATGAAGGAATAATCGAATTGATCTCTAAAAAGTAACCAGATACAACTATTTTAAAATTAAATTAAATAAAAAATAGGATATCGTAACGCAGCGTAAGCATTGTCTTTATTCTACGCGCTCCACTAACTGCATATCTTGTTAAATTCGTTTGAGTACTTGCGAGCGTAGCAAACACTCAAATAACCAGTACTCAGGTAGTCGTTACTCTCATTCTGTCATTTGCCAAAAAAGAAAGAATAATAATTGCGAATTTAATTCTATTAAACTTGTAATCATTTCCTCATTATTTCGTTTCAAATGTTCTAAATAAGCATTCCGCAAATGAGTTTCATGAATACATCAATGCTTGTTTTTGTTTTGTTTGCGAATATCCAAATAAAATAACACAATTTGATTACGATCGTGTGTGTGTGCGAAGAGGAGTCAGTCATTTCATGTGAATATTGCAAAATAAAGATGCAGAAATAATTTGTGGTGTTGACTGTGTTATAATTTTTGTGTGTCGTTCGTTGACGGCTCCTTCCGATGATTTGCTCCTAAAATTTCTTCGAAAAAAAACAAAGGAACGAAAATAATAAAAAGAAAAAGCACAAAGTACGTGTTAAAAAGTGGACTAGTGTCGAAGCAGAAGCTTTACAGAATTAAATTAAAGGCATAGCGACATAGTTTGCAACAACAAATACTACTAAAAAATAACTGCACACAAGCTCGGCATTTAGCCAACAAAAAAAGATTGAAACCGGAGCATTAAACTTTCGTTTCCACATTTAAGTAGCGAACGGGTCGTCATATCTGTAATAATGACATCTACAACAAATTCAACAGCATCGTCGTCTGGAGGTGGCAGTGAATCAAGCAATGAAACAACACCATTGGAAACCTCCTCGTCGTCATCATCAACATCCTCGACTGCATCTGCTTCAGTACCAAATAATATTGAATTGGAATATAATAAAATATCGAGTGATCGCAATGGTTGGCAGCGTTTATACCAGGTAAGCATGTAACCACCAGCCAGCCAGTGATATGGTATGGTTCGCAGCTCACAATTGCCTTGGATAACCGCACACATACCCGTTAGCACGGAACGGCGGAGAGCACACACTTGAAGCCCACTAGCACATTTTAGGGAATTCTATATACCTATATGGACACAATGCAAAAACAGTTTTCTAACGAAAATTGAATACTGACCTCCATACGACTACCAAAAGACCAACCACTCTTCACGTTATTTGAACTAAGTAATTCATTGAATTGCTGTTGATTTGTTGCTTTAGTTATGTTGTCTTGCTTGGCCTTTCGTTGTTGTATTTGAAATCCAATGTGACTATGTATGTACGGATGAGTGAGTGTGTGTGTGATTGTTTGGGCGAGTGTACGTTTGCTCCTTTCGTTTTAAAAATAAATTCTACGAAAGCCTGATGAATTCACAAGAATATATCAGTCAACTATGGACCTTTATTTTCAGATTAAAAAAAATAATGAAATTAAAATATAATTTTTATTTGAATCCTTGAAGTATTATTTTCAAACATATAGGTATTTAATCACAAAATATTTTCAATATTTTTTTATTATTAAAAAATAGGGAAAACATTTAAAAACAAATAATAATCTTCTATATGTATAAAAGGAAAAAAGGGCAGTACCGATTTTGGTTATTCGTGCCTTTTTCTAAGGCTACATGGACACATTAGGATAATATCTAAAATAAACTTGTTCACAATATACGACTCTTTGTGGTTCACAAAAATAAAATTGTGGTTCCGATTTTATTTTTATAACTTCCACCTCGAAATATTCACCCGGGTCCCCACAAATATATATTATTGATCAGAATAAAATTCTATGTTCTCTTTAAGTATGTCCGTCTATTCAAATCACGATAGAGATCGCAATATTTAAGATACAGCTCTGAAATTTTGCACAGACATTGCTAGTACTCCTAGAATGTTTGGTGTTGCAAATAGGATATATCGGTCCACGATTTTGGTGTAGCCTCCATATAACGGCACCCACCACCAATATTCGAGATTTTGGACACTTTTTTAACCTTATTGGCTGTAATTTGGCATTTTGGATTCTCATTGTATAGAACATGTCCGTACCAAAAATTAATAATATTGACCCAAGTTTCAGGGTAACACCCACATAACGGAACCCCCCGATATTCGGTATCTAGGGGGATTTTGAACATGTTTTTCAAACCGAATTTGCTGTAGTTTAGTTCGGCCACATATGTCCAAAGGTGTCAGATAAGGCTGGGTTTTTGGAAATTCCAATTAGAACGGCACGAAATGTACTAAATATGGTCACATTTGTATTTGGTGAACCGGAACTGGAACTCTTAAATTTAAAATGAGAGTAGCAAAGGGTTTTTAGGAAATTCGAACTATAAGCATCCGAAAAGTACTAATATGTTCTAAATTTAGTACAATTTCGTAGCATGTCAATGGATAGAGCTAAAAACTTGGAATTTGGAATGCGAATTGTGCGGTAGGGTCAATATAAGAGGTGGTTTTGAAAGCGTGTACTCATGTATACGAAAATTTAGTGTCACTGTTGGGTTGTAGGATTGGGTTTTGTAGAAATTTTAGGAAATTCGTACTAAATTTGGTACAATTTAAATTTTGGGTGAATTGGAAATTTGTACTAAATGGTACCAAATTTTGTTTGGGTGAACCGATAGAACTGAAATCTTGACATTTGCAGTTAGGATCACTGTAGGGGTATGGAATTGGAGTATGTAGGAAATTTTGGAAATGTCTACCAACGTGTACTAAATGGCACTAAATTTGGTACAATTTGGATTTAGACTGATAGAGCTGGAATCCAGAAATTGGGTAATAAGATTTCTATTGGATTGCATTATGTAGGTGGTAATTGAAATTTGTATGTATGTGTACTAAATGGTACTAAATTTGATTTGGTGTGTAGTGTTGAGATAGTTTTGGAAATACGTATAATAAGAGAGCATAGGTACTAAAGTGGTAGGTGTTAAATGGTACTAAAGTGTTAATTATGGTCGGTATTGGTTTTTTAATAATTCCAACATTCTCTTACGAAGTAGCGGGCATATGCTAGTTGTAATATATAATGACAATTGCGAAGATATGGAGATGTTGACTCTGGAATCTTCTATTTATATTGACTTGTATTTATTTTAAAGTCACATATTGTAAATGCGGTTACGCTGATAAAATTATACAATGTAAATCACTAAAAACGCTAACTCTATATCGTTTAAATAGGATATATATTAAATAGCCAGTCATTTGAAATAATTTTAAATTTTCGTAATTGATAGAGTGTAAATGAGATCCGTTAGCTTTAAGATCTTCATTTCCAGACGAAAGGCTTGATACGATACGAATGCCGACAACTTGTAAATTTGGGTTTTTAAAATACAAAATGTTTATTTAATAACTAAAAATTCTCGATAATTTTTATTAAAAAAATTGAAAAAGTACGTTTTCGTACTTTTAGTTTTTTTTTATCAATGAGAAACAGCAAAATACTTTTGAGTTGTGACTTTTCATCCCAACTGAATAACTGGCCAATAAAAATTAGCTAAAATTCGCAGACTTTTAGTTCTTAGTTCGAGAAGACAATGTTGTTTAAAATAACGACTTTCTTTTAATTTTTGACATAATATCATTATTATAACCCACATATATAGATAACGAAACTTCTTCATATCATCATGGGCTCTCTTGTAAATAACACTAGAAAATCATACATTAAGATCAACTCGTAAAAACAATCGACAACAGCATAATTGAGTTTAATATTGTATGCACCAGATACATCGTTTGTTCGTTCATGTTAAACAACATTGTGTTGTTACATTTGATGCATGCCTTTACGGTGAAAATTGTTAATGATGTTACATGTTTTATTTTCGTTTAGCATGCCTATATGCCCAGGCATCGACGACTGTATGAACATTAGATTTTATTTAGTTTTTAAATTAGTTTACGTTCATCACATATGAAGATGTATATAAATCCATGTTATGAATGTGTGTGTAATTGGTATTATAAAAATAATTATTAATATACATATATTCATGTATGCGTACATTTGAGAAAAATCGCAGATAGACTAGTCAACATATAAATAATGATTTGTGTAATTTTGACATGGAGCCATAACTGAATTGGTTTTTTACCATAATACAGTGCAGAATATTAAAGACAAATTATAATCGAGACCATTTATATTGAAAAATGTACACTTCATAATCATCCAAGTAAACTTTTCTCGTAGAAAACAATTGTAAAAACTTCAGTAAATCTACCTGACGTACTTCAATAATTAATGAGATGTTTCTACAGCATTGACATAATTCCGACATGTCTCTTATGGGACAATGACCTGAGGTGCACAACAGGGACGTACGCAGGGGGGCGGCCCGGGGGGCCCGGGCCCCCCCCGAAATGAAAATTTTTCACAGTAAATTTATGTTCGCAACAGCGATTTTTTCATTTTGTACTACCGGGCCCCCCCCGAAATGAAATCCTGTGTACGTTGCTGGTGCACAAGATACATTTCCTCAGTTGTCGGATAGCGTTATAATAAATAAATACCATAACCCAAAACTACTAAAAAATGTGATTTGAAATTATATGTTTAGTTACAAACTTAGGTATTATTAAAAAAAACTAAACATTTTGAGGTGATATCTTGTAAACCACGAAGAGCATACACGAAAATCTTTCTTCCACATACGTCGACAAATGTTTGCATAGATACCCAATGAGAACTCTCTGTGCCAATTACTGCCAATTTTATTGTAAAATGTGGCTGATATATAAAAATTACCTTAAATCGGGAGGTACGGTTAAAGTGGGGCTATATCAAAACTTGGACTCAGAGATCCCATTTTCCATATTCGACGTGATTAATTGACATGACTAATATTTAGTAAGTTTTGAAAATATTTATTGGAGTAAATTGGAAAACTAACTTATATGTTCTTTGATATTAATAATTTATTATTATAAAAAAAATCTTAATTCATTAATATATTTTTCTATATCCTTTTTTAGGAAATTCGCGAAAAATGCGAACGAGAAGCGAATGAAAAGCATTTCTGCACCAGTGAATCAGAAAAATCTCACAACCGTTGCTTAAACAGATATCGCGATGTTAATCCTTATGATCATTCTAGAATCATACTGCACAGAGGCAGTGTCGATTACATCAATGCAAATTTGGTTAAGGTTAAAATAAATTTTCTACGAAAAATTCACGTTTAATATTATACGACATTTATTTCCATTCAATTTACAGATGGGACGGGCAGAACGTAAATATATCTTAACCCAAGGACCCCTTGTAGATACAGTTGGGCATTTTTGGTTAATGGTCTGGGAACAGAAGTCTCGAGCCATTCTTATGTTGAACAAATTAATGGAAAAGAAACAGCCAAAATGTCACTTGTATTGGCCGGAGCGTAAAGGTCCCGAAAATGCAATGAGATTGAATGAAGTGAAATTAACTGTAGAATTCCTACATTGGACAGAGTACAAAAACTTTTGTGTTCGATGGTTCAAGTGAGATATATATTTTATTGGAATACTTTTTATTCGCTCTAAAAGCAGATGGCATGCTAATTAGCCCTTTTGTGTTGTTGTTTTTTTAGATTGACTGACCTTCAATCGAACCAAAGTCGAAATATTATACAATTCCATTATACAACCTGGCCCGATTTTGGTGTGCCCAGTTCACCAGTTGCGTTTTTATATTTTCTCAAAGAGGTACGAGCTTCAGGAGCTTTAGATCCCAACGAAGGACCTGCAGTTGTACACTGCAGTGCTGGTATAGGTCGTTCGGGCACATTCTGTCTGGTTGACTGTTGTCTGGTGTTGGTAAGTTTGCGTGTGTGCCAATGTGATAGTAATTTGTAATTGATATAACGATTATCTGCTAGGTTGACAAAGAGGGTGTAAATAATGTTTCTGTGCAGGATGTCTTGTATGAATTACGTCGATATCGCATGGGATTAATACAAACCGCCGACCAATTGTATTTTTCATATCAAGCCATTATTGAAGGCATTAAACTACTTAAAGATCAGGTATGGCAATAATAATTGTTGTTTCCGTCCACAGCTGTTTGCATTATGCCCCCTGTTTTTTCGTTTTCTTTCTTTTATAGAACTTTATGAATTATAATGAAGTGGTGTACAACTCAGTTGAAGATCATTGCCAACAAAATGACGAGTACAATTTAGATGAAACTCCACCGCCTTTACCACCGCGTACACATTCACTTCTACCCATGGCGGGTAGTGGTGCCGATGGGTCGTTACGTTTGAACCTAGCAGCCGGCAACAATTCTCAAAACAAACCTTTGCCCAATATACCGACCAGTGTTAGTTTCAATGATGACTTGTATGCGCCCGACAATGACAAAACCAACAAGGATGCTTTGAATAATTTCATAAATAATGAACGAAATTCAGATGCTACGAATATGACACATCGGCCGCTACCACCACTGCCACGGGAGAATCCATTAGATCGCGTACATGAATCGGACAGCGATGAGAACGAGTACTCGGAGGATGACAGTGATGTTGAAAATGACAATGAAGACCACCATGTCGTTGCTGAAGCGGAAGTCAATGACAACGATGCGGCAACAAAGCACAATCACCAACACAGTAAAACACTGGCAAATGAGATGGTGGACCAAGAAACTAAGAAATTGAATGGTATTGACGCGACAGAACCAGTGAGGTAATGCAATCTACTACTAATCTCGTAATTTGTGTCCGGGGTTAATATACATTCTTTTATTTACTTATTTATTTTTCAGCCCCGACAACGAATTGAGGCGCCGTAAACGAGCCGAACGTCAAGCGAATATCGAGCAAAAAGTTAATGAAATCAAAAGAAAACAGCGCGAAAACGAGGAGAACAAACAAACGGCGAAAAAACGAAGGTCATTAATTACTTATATAACAGCGGGTGTTGTTGTGGGTGTTATCTGTGTTTATGTCTATTCCAAATGGGCCTAGATCTTTATTTTCCCAATACGCGTAAATATGTTCTCCCCCTTACCTAGCAACTACCGTGGGCCATTTCACGCAGAGATCACTTTCTCGCTAGTGTAATGGCCGTTAAAAGGAAGTGTTGTGTTGCCCACACACAACTACGACCTTGGGAAGAATATAGAGTGAGAATATGGTAACGAACAATAAATTAAAAGAAGAGTAAACACTTTTTGTTTTGCCACCTATTATTAAATAACATCGACTAAATGAATTTTTTCTACTTCTATTTATATTATGGAAAGTGAACAACAACAACAAAACATATTATTAATATTTACTTGTAAAAACTAAGTTTTTGCAATTAGAACTTTTATTATATCATATAACTTAGAGGAACGCACATACACTAATTATTTCTAATTACATATAAAGCATACTAGACATGATGATGAAGAAACATGATGAGAAGAATGAAAAGAAAGCTGCAAAAAACCCAATACCATATTAAGCATACATATATAGACACAGACGCTGCAGGATAACACTTGTAAGAAGCACACACACCCACTCACATGTACACTGTTTTCCATTTTCTCATGATTTCGTTCAAATAAATATGATTGTTGTAATCTAGTTTTGTACTGCAATCGACGACTGAGCAATGCTGACATAAATTTGGCGTGTTTTACAAAAAAATCGAAAATGAAAACAATTTCAAAATTGTTTATAGTATATACTTTTTGAATTGTAAAGAAATATGTTGCATATTTGTTTATTAATTTTTTAGTCTTTTAGCATTATTATTTACTCAAATGCTTTTATTCTACTTAAAAAAACATTTAGTTTCAAAAATATTTAGATAATTTTGCATAATATCGTGTTCTTATTCGACAAAAGGAAATGTTGTACAGATCAGAATCAATGCTTGACAAAATAAAACACGCCGCCTTATGTTGATTGATCTAAAAGTCATTATTTATTTGTTCGGATTATAAGAAAGCACGCAAAGCGTTGTAGTTTGTTTACAGATTTATTTAATATACATATCGGTTTATAAGTACATACAAATATTTTTTTATAAAAGATGTTTTTTCCAAGAACAAAAACTTTAAATTATTACAATTCTACGATGGTATAGACGACGTTGAAGATAATGTGTTAAAATTATATTTCTGAATGTTATACTACTTTATAAAGATATAATCTACAGTAGATATTCGTTTTGCATATTTAGACATTCTCACAATGAAGTAAAACATACAAAAATTAAAAAGCTAACACAAACTTTGGGATATTTAAAATTTAGATTATGATCTGCAATAGACTGATAAATCGTGAATATAAATAACCACATTTAATATTACAAAAGCATGGAAAGCTTTTTTGGCCTAAAATAATTTGCTATAGTAATATCAACTAAAACGATTAGGGACAGGTGTTTTTTTGTGAACGTTTGTGAAAACGTGTTTTTGAAATTTATATGAAATTACTATATTGACCTATTTGAATTTGTTGGTTTCATTTGATTTATTATCAATCTTGCCAAATTGTTTTTTTTTTCAATTTAGTATTTTGTTTGCAGATCAATTAATGTTTTTTACTGTGGTCTTGTTTTGCTTCAACCCATTACAACACAATATATTTCTCTAATTCATTCTCTGTAAAGTTAGTTGATGACTTTAATTTATTTATTATTCTCGAAAGAATTCAGCGTTTAAGAATAATGCGTTACGCAGTGAATGAAAGAGAAAAACAAAATCAAAATCTAAACACCAAATTTTATACGAAATACACCATACATAAATATATAACCCCCTCAACAAACAAAAAACCATGAGAATTTATACAAAAAATTTTTTGAATAATAGTATACAACCAACACACATACTTACACACGACGAAACAGCAAGTGGGAAGAGAAAGAAATTTAAAACATACTAAATGTCATATACACATAGTTATATAGCAAATACTGAATATACAACTAAACATTATAACATTAATAAAAACAAATAATAAATGATTTATTTTTATAAATGTATCCTTATAAATCTAAACCAACAACAACAACAAAAGAAAAGAAAACAAACCGCAACAATAATAAATGAAAAACATAATTACATTAAAAACCTATATTTATTTGAGTTGTTGTATTACTATTGCTATACACAGTGGTGTGTACGAATATTGATGTATGTATATAGATTACAACCAATAATTCCCCGATATTTCCAATAGATCACAGTTTTCCAAAGAACATGCAATTTTCGATATAATCCTTCTTCACACATCCCTTAATGAAACACTTTCCACCCAGCCATTTCATTAGGTTTGGAAATAGTTTGAGCCAGAGGTGGTCCGTCGGAAATTGTGACATGAATGACATGAAGTTCCAATGTATAATACATATGCAAAACCATTAGATTTTTGACAATTGAGTTATTTCCATTAGTGAATATGGAAAATGAAACCCATATCAATTTTTTTTCTTCTCAAAACCGTTTAATATTTTTTGTCGGTACTATTAAGGAATAGCCATGATTTATGTATTCTTAAAAAATAACCCTAGACATTTGTCATACGGACAATCACTATTTCTTAAGGTGCTTGTGTTTGCGAATTGTCCATAAGACTCAAATTTTTGGAAGAAACTACTGCAACCCACTCATTCCAACCACAATTGCTTTCTTTTGATGGAAGATTTCTACGGATGAGATCATTTGTATCATGTATCTGTATCATCAAATATCTGTTTGTCAAGGAGTGTAAAACATGAATAATTAAGTTTGGTCTTCTGACAGGAGTAAATATATCAATCTCAAAGCAAATAAAGAAAATTACAAAAAAGATAGATTTTTTATATTTACTATGTATGCAGTTTCTATCTGTTAAAACAAAAATTATACTGAAAAGCCCAAAATCATAAGCTAAATATGTATGTAGATTAATTTCCTTTATTCTTTTATTTCTATAAATAATTTTAATATTTTTTGTTTTCTTTTGCAGACACCAAGAAATTTAAAGAAATTTTAAGGTCTAATGACGTTGCCTAACATAACAAATCAAATATTAGCCATTTCAAATTGTTCCCAGCCTAACGAACAAAATTTGCATTAACAAGCAAAGCAAATCCATATTGAATGAGATTTTTTTAAATAGTATACTGTCAAATGTTGGCAATATTGATGTGTTTTAATTCTCATTCAAAAAATGAAAAAAGAAAACAACCATTAGTTAACAATAATCTATTTATCTGTAATCAGAAGAGTTTTCTTTTTTAATTGAAATTATGTTTAGTTTCCATTTCCTTCTCATGTATTCACGTTCATTAATAAATTTTTTCATGTACATTGTATTGACTATAGTTTTTATTTGTTTGTTTTTTTTTTATTAAAATTTTACCTATATTTGAGGGATATCGTTTATCCCCCAAGTACAGGTATAATTTTGGCAAATTAATTTTTTTCTTTAAAATGTTTTAAAACATTTGTATTTATTATAAAAAAAGTTGTTATTACTTTATAAAAAATATATTTTGTTCCCTTTTAAAAAATCACCCTCATCATTATTGTGATCTGGTTCCAATTGATTTCGATAATTCTCGAATAAATTGCAAGACAAAACTTAATATCCCTTTCGGAGCAAAATACCTTGGTACAATCCTTGACCACAAATTATCGTGGAATAGGAATGTTGAGGAACACACTAAGAAAGTACTCATAGCACTCTATTCCTGCAAGAACTCTATAGGTAAGACTTGGGGACTAAGACCATACATTGGCTGTATGTGACGGTCGTACTTCCCATTCTTACATTGTATATGTATGGTGACAAGGTGTCAATTAAAAGATACTGCTGACTGAAATGAATATAGTACAGCGATCAGCTTCGATACTGACAACCGGAGCGCTAAGAAGCACACCCAGGCAGCCTTAAATGCAATCTTGAACCTCCAACCAATGAGTCTCCGAGAAATTGATGCCTGGAAGTCGCTGAACTTTCGTCACGCAAGTATCCTTCACACGACGCCTGGTTTTGACTTCTTTAAGAGGAGTACTCACATTAGTGACTATGTTCCCTCTCATAGAGACTATAATGACATAAAAGTAGAGTTTCCTGGACCACAGTTATCGTAAATATGAATTTTAAAAATTACCCCCAAATCTCAGTTCTACGTTCCAACAGTAATCATATTCCACACAAAATCAAATTGTACCAAATTAAGTACCGTTTACCGTACCGTAGAATCGTTTATAAATATGAATTTTAAGAACTACCGCCAAATCTCAGTTTTACATTCCAATAGTAATCATTATTCCAAATCTCAGGATTTCAGCTCTACCCATTCACCCAAATCCAATTTATACCAAATTTAGTATAATTTAGTACTTTTTATACTCACAAGTAAGAATTTCTAAAACAACATTAACAGTAATATTAATTTTCCATCAAAGTCCATATTGTTCCAAATTTAGTTTGTTTTTTATACTCGATAAGTACAAATTTCCAAAACTACCTCAGTCCTGCTTTCAAATAGTAATCGTAACTCCAAATTTAAGAATTCCAGATTTATCTGTTCAACAAAATCCAAATTACAACGGATTTTGTGCCACTCAGTACTTTTCGCCGATGTCCAAAATGTACTAAATGTGTTACTTTTTCGTACCCAAAATTTCCAAAACTACCTCAGCAATGTACTCAAATAATAATTCCATTTAAGGATGCCAACTCTCTCCGTTCGCCAACACCCAAATTGTACCAAATTTGGTAGCATTTATTACTTTTCGTAGACGTAAGTACGAATTTTTAAAAATTGCTCAATTATACACTCTAAAAGTAATTTTTATCATAAATTTCAGAATCCCAGCCCTACCCGTCACATAGATCCAAATTAAACCGTATTTAGTACGTTTCGTACTTAAAAACTTATATTTGTAATTTTATTTTTATTTTTTATTTGTTCTTTATTCTATATTTACAAATATAAGTTTTTCATCTATATCATTTCACTCAAATCTAAATTGTACTAAAATTATTAGCATTTAGTACACATAATTATGCATTTTTAAAACTTCCTCCATGTCTCAATTCTTCACCTCAACCTTAATTTTAATACAATTTTTTAGGATTTCCGCTCACAAAAAACGAATTGTACCATATTTAGTACCATTTAGTGCTTCTCGGGTCTATAAGTACGAAATTCCAATTCTACCTTAATCCTGTAATTTTCATTCCAAATTTAAGTTTTCCATCTCTATCCGTCCACTCAAATCTATATTGTACCAAATGTAGTACCATGTAGTAATGACGAATTATCAAAACTACCGACATATTACAATCCTGGACTCCAACTGTAATTATAATTCAAATGTCAGGATATCAGCCCTATACGTTCACACAAAAACAATTTGTAAACTAGTTGGTACCATTTAGTACTTTTTGTTTTTATAATTAAGAATTTCCTAAAATACCTGAATCCTACATTCCAACAATAATTTTAATTCCAAAATTCTAGAGTCCAACTCTATCCGTTCAAGTAAACTTAGTACCATATAGTACTTTTCGTACCAA